AATTAAAGTCTCTGCTACTAATATGCTCGCTGTTCCAGTCTTACTGTACTTTTTCGGTGTTCTGAAATGGGCCCGAAAGGATTTACGAGATCTCGACATCAAAACCCGTAAGGTTATCAATATGAGTCGGAGCATGCACCCCAATTCATCAGTCGCCAGATTATACCTGTCCAGATCCATCGGTGGGAGAGGTTTGCAGAGTTTGGAGAGGCTTTACGATCGTTTGGTCCTGGGTTTAACATTCGAGGTTGTCAATTTCACTGCAGACGAGAATGACTTTCTTATGTAAATTGTACATAAACATGAAAATGCGCATAAAGGGTCGTTCTTGTATAAAGCAGCAATATATGTGGCAAGAACCCTTGGTCTTGGAGAAATAAACGCTCTTATGGAACTTCGAAAGGAGGAAGTTAAGAGCGTCATCAGGAACGCCGAGGAAAAACTACTCCTTGGCGAATTGATGGACAAGTCCATGCACAGCGTGTTCTTTAAACACGTACGTGATCATGGTTTGTCTACCCAGCTGACGTTTTCCTTCTTAAAGTCAGCTGGCCTGATGTCCGAGACTGAAGGGTTCATATTTGCCTGCCAAGATGGTGTCATTAACACTCTAGAGTACCGTAGCAAGGTGCTCCAGGTACAGCTTCTGGAAACGTCCTGCAGGGCATGTAAACAACATCCGGAGATGCTTATGTACCTTTTGTCGGCATGTCCAGTGCTGGCAAGAGGGGCATACATCCAGCGTCATAATGCTGCCCTGAGAGTACTGTACTATTATCTTCGTCATTGCTACGGTATTGACGTGACACCAGTGCTGCCTTATCTGCCAGGAGATATTCCCCAGGTTGTTGAGAATGAGAGTTGCAAAATTTATTGGAACATGCCATTTGCAACAACCCGGCGGATAGATCACAACAAACCTGATATTGTTCCCTTCGACAAGGCTACTCGTGACATTTATGTCACAGAGTTTTCGGCCCCGGCTAAATACAACATCTCAGCCAAAGAAGAGCACAAAAGACAGATATATCAGGATCTCCTGTTTGAAATTGGCAAACTTTACCCAGGTTACCGTGTCAAGCTTGTCGTCCTGATTGTTGGCGTCCTTGGAAGGATGAAACAGTCTTTTGTATCCTCACTTGCCAGAGTTCCAGCTTGCTCATCAAAAGCTGAGTTCTTGGCAGTCAGGATGCAGAAGGCTGTGATACTAGGTTCCCTCTGTCTACTTAGGGAAATGACTTTGGGCTGCTGTGATCACTAACCGCCTTGTTTCGCGGAGTGGTCGAGCAGTAATGGATGGAGCTCAGGCTGGGCCCTCGGAGAGTCGGGCTCCGGGGATAACCCCCCTGAGCATTTAATATGCTATAATAATAATAATAATAATATAAACATTATTAACTATGTCGAAAATATTGTCCAATTATTATTATTATTATTATAATTATCATTATTACTATTATAGTTGTTATAGTTGTTATTGTCAACATTAATGGTAGCAGCACCAGCAATAGAAGTTAGACATTATGTTATAATAACAATAATATATTTAATAATAATATTAGTAATTAAAAAAATAATTTTTATAAATATTCAAAAGTTGAAAAAATGTTGGAAGCATTAGATGATTCATTTTGATTCTGATGTGAGTGCGGATGGTGGTTCGGCGTATTATCAGAATAATTTTGCCAGTACCCATTTTCTCGTGCAGCTGGTTTAATCCAATTAACCGGAGGTAAGTCATTTGGTGATTGAGTACAGTAACCTGGAATCGTATTAACACTGGGTGAGATTGGAGAGTAATTCGGAGCAGCAGTTCCAAGTGGTTGAGAAAAATAACTCTGATGTTCAACTCTGGCTGGTACTGGAGAGTAGCTCGAAGTTGTACTTGGAGGTGGCTGATGACAGTAGCCTGTATTTTCACTACTTGGTGGGTGTGTAAAATCGGTCGAAGTCGTAGTTGGAGGTGGCTGAGGACAGTAACCTGGAGTTTCACTGCTTGGTGGATGTGTCGAATAGGTCGAAGTCGTAGTTGGAGATGGTTGAGGACGGTAACCTGGAGATTCAATTCTCGATGGCGATGGAGAGTTAATCTGATGATCATGTAACGGCGATTGTGTAGAATAATCTGACGACTTAGATGCAGGTGATTGAGCAAAGGAATCTTTAGCTCCAGCTCCAGGTAGCTCCGAAGAAATAATTTCATCAAATGGAGTTGAAGTGCGATCCGGCTGGAAGAATTCCAATTTCTTTGGTCGTTTAGATAATTTATTAGAATCATTCGATGTAGTCATTGATCGTTTTGTAGAAGATCTCGAAGTTGAAGGACTCGCTCCTTTATATTTTAACTTCCGGTTACAGCAAACGTTATTTATATGTTTTGAAAACATTTTTGATGTGATAGGAATGGCCAACGCTATTTTAATTAAATCTGAAATTATGAATTTATTAATATGAAATCATCATAATCTTACGTCATGAATTTAATTCTATGATATCTACCTTTAATTGCGTCGCTTAGACGCCAATAGACTCCAAGAGATCCTTCACAACCTTTAGCTGAATAAAATTGTAGATTATCTCCATATAATTCGATTAAGATCTCCGTAATAATTTTTTTTTAATCTTTTTTTTCTCCGTGGCGGCGCAGAATAGATTCAAATCTTCCTTTACGTGTATAACAATTTGAGCCTTCGAAAATTTTGACCTGCAAATAATAGAAGAAATGCGTTGGACACTGATAGAAGGATTTGTTTATAGTTAAAAATATTTGTTAATATTTAACAAATCATTCATTAGAGACCACTTGTTAGTCCTTGATAAATATTTCTTAGTATTTAAAAAGATATAATATTTAATAAATGAATATCAGATTTATTAAATACAAATAAATCATTTTAAATACTAAGAAATATTTGTTTAATCCAAAAAGTGGTCTCTAATAAATTATTTGTTAACTATTCACAAATATTTTTGAATACAAATAAATCTTTCTATCAGTGTATTAAAAGTAATTACAGAAAAAAATATTAAATAGTTAAGGGTAATGTTACCTTATTTGGACCAGCTGTATTAATGCACTTAATGGCCTGTAAATATTATAGATAAAATTATTAATAAAATTGATAAATATCATTAATAAAATTATTAATAAGTTATCAAACATAGTTATGTAATAATGATCTATAAATCGATAACAAAATATTTTCAAATTACTTACAAATGACTTTTATTCATACCTGATTTGTCTGAAGTTCATTGATTGCTGTATTTTGTCTGTGGTGAATACCTTCAAAATAGCACATTATTTGTCTCATACCATCCATGAATTCATGAGACACTAAAATTAAAAAAAAAAATATTTGCTTGCAATAATTTAATATAAAATTGGAATTTTATAAAATTATCTATAAACATAATCACTACGATAATATAAATAACTATGATTATAATAATAATAAAACAAGAAACTATAATAGTAAAAAAAATTCAATTATTAATATCGAAATAAATAAACTATAGCAATTAAGCTTTAAGCAATAAAATTTTTTTTTCTACAAAAATTATTGTTTTTCAACAAAAATTATTTCTTTTTCAACAAAAATTTTTTTTTCACCAAAAATCGTTTTTTGATAAAAAAAAATGATTTTTTTTTCAACAAAAATTATATTGTTGTTAAGAAAATCTTTTAAGCCTTAATAAATTTACTGAAAGTTTACATACATATAGGGGGATTTTCCAATTCATTAGCAATTGTTTCGTTTTCTTTGTCTTCCTTATCATCTTCACTACTTGATTCCCCATTAGATGATCTGGTACTATTTTGGAGAGGATCAATCGCATCTGAAGTTGGTTCAGATGGACTGTGAGTTTTTACGTTATCAAAAATCAAAGCTTTTTTTAGAAGGGATTCACTACGGTTTTGTTTTTGGGTAACTGCACTTTTATTTTTTGATTTTTTAATTCCTTTTTCTTGTCCAATACATCTTTAGTGTATGATTTTTGTATTTTTGGATCAACAATACAACCGCCATCATCAACTACTAATTTTTCTAAATCAGATTTCTTACCTTTTATTAAAAAGAATATTTTTGTTTAATTAATCACCTGTTTTTATACATATAAATAATAATTTCAATAATACTTTCAACCCATTTTCAAAACTCTCGCTGAATGCTTCATAGTTACATTAGATGTTTTATCCGTCCATTCGAGTGAGGTTAGAGCTCCTTCGTGTCGATCACGCGCAGGAATTTTAGAGGTAGCTATTACATCAGACTTTTTGTCCAAAATCCAGTATATCAGAGCAAATCTCATAATTTAAATCTTTCTCAAATGTATCAAATGGAAATAAAATTAAATGAAGAGTTGTAGAGAACAAAATCAACGCTTAGTATATTATAGATGTTATGCGTAGTATATTGTAAACGCTGTACGCACAATGTCGACACAATAATGATGCTATTACACTATTGGTCATCTGAGAGAGCAATGCTCAACGCTATTGGTCAATTATTCTTAATAAGACCGCATGATTGGTTACTATCTTCTTTACCGATTGCAGACATGAGTAAACTCAGCTTAATATATTCACTAGCTTATCGACTATTTATGTCAGCTTTATAAACACAACTTTATAAAGAAAAAACAAAAAAATTTTAACTTATACAACTTATTACTAATTTAAATAAAAGAATTCGATAAAAAAATTTTTTATTATTAATAAATAAAATTTTATATCAAAATATTGAAGATTTATCTCCAGATTTTGGAGCGCTTGAGATTAGATAACCTAAAACAAAGCAGCCTTGGTGAATGAAATAATTTTATTAATTTTTTCTAAAAAACAAAAATTTTGGTAAGTACAGCCTGTTATAATTTTAATTATTATTAATAATATTTATAATGCTATTATTGATAAAATGAAAATGAGAAATTTTTTCAGACACTTGTTTTGTCAACAATAGTCAATGACACAAATAGCAATATTATAAATTTTCAATATGAGAAAACAACTTAGAGAACAAACTCAAGGAGCAAGATATAAGTACATGAAGTCCGTTGAAAAGAGTGATGAAAATAAGCACGAAAAACTGTAAGTTATTTTATTTATTAATTGCATGTCATTTTCGTCGGTGTAAGAAAACAAACATTTGGAGTCTTATTGACATGTTGTTTGACATAATTTTTTCTTCAAATTTTTAGTTCCGAGTCGGAACAAACCAAAACTGCTGAAGAATTTCTGCAGATCACAAATCCTGAATTAGATAATGATACATCAAATATAAATAATTCGTCAGACCATCCGAATCCATCGAATTCCAGGGAGAGTTCATCATCAGAAAATTCTACCTTTGATGATGATACATCAAATATAAATAATTCGTCAGACCATCTGGATCCATTGAATTCCAGCGAGAGTTCATCATCAGAAAATTCGACCTTTGATGATAGCAGTAATGAAATTACTCCAAATAATTCATCTAACAATGCCGATTCTTCGATCTCTGCAGAGAGTGAAGATTCAAGGATTTTGGACAATATTGGAGACAACAATCCTAATATTAGTAATAATGATGGTGCAGAAAATATAAATAATGCGGATCGTTTGTTGATACCACTTTATAGAGGATCAGTTATGAATGTAGAACAAAGTAATTTGATGATTTTATCATTGCTACTGAAACACAACATGACACAGTCTTGTATTTCTGATGTCATGGAGGTCGTAAAATTCCACTGTCCCTCTGAAGACTTACAAAAAAATAATTTACATACTCTTAATAAATATGTCTCCAAAGCTGAACCACTCAAACATTACTATTGCGTTAACTGTCTTAATAATTTAATGACTGAAGATGAAAAGTGCAGTTGTGGTCATGAAGAGGTTGCATATTTTTTGCAATTATCTATTTTTGATCAGCTACAAGAACTATTTTGCCGACCGGGTTTTTTTGAACAGCTTCAACATCGTTTTCATCGGCAGAAAACAAGTAATACTTCTGTTGAAGATATTTACGATGGTACTTTATATCAAAAATACTGGAGAAATGGATTTTTCGCGAGTCCATGCAACATTTCACTTACCTGGTACATTGATGGAGTATCACCATTCAAATCTTCCAAATATAGCCTAACTCCTTTTTACATAAGAATAAATGAATTACCCTATCACAAAAGAATCTTAAAAGAAAATACAATCTTAGCTGGACTGTGGTTTAGGATGGTAAAGCCAGACTATAATCTATATATAGATAAATTTTATTTGGAATTCTAAAGTTTGTATGAAGGAAAACAGCTTTATATACACGACCTTAATGCATTGAGGACTGTTAAAGCCGTTTTACTCACTGGTACGGCTGATCTTCCAGCGAAAGCTGCAGTGTTAAACATGATGTTATTTAACGGCGAGTATGGTTGTGTTGACTGTGAAAACCCCGGTGAAACTTTGAAGCTCAATACAGGTGGACATACTCACATTTATAAATATCAACCGAATGCACCTCTACGTAGTTTAACAAGTGTCTTACATTATGCAGATGAATCTGTTGCTTTGAAAAAAGTAATTAACGGCGTTAAAGGACCTTGCGCTCTGTCTAAAGTCATGCCTAATTTTATTGTTGGTAATGCAATTGACTTGATGCATTGTATTTACGAAGGAAATGCAAAAAAATTAATGCATTTATGGTTTGATGTAGAGTATAGTTCAAGTCCATTTTCTTTCAGGCAAGTATTTGATGTAATTAAAGACAAATTTAAAAATATCCAAGTTCCACGGTTCGTTCATCGATTCAATACTATTGATAATTTTGCCACCTGGAAAGCATCAGAATTTAAAAATTGGTTCTTTTATTACTCGGTTCCTATTTTATCAGATATAATGACACTTGAGTATTTCAGTCACTATATGCTTTTAGTCACTTCTATTGTGATGCTAAACGCAAATGTAGTAACTCAAACGATGATAACAACCAGTAAAAATAATTTACAATTGTTCGTTGTTACGATTAGAAATTTTGGTAAATTTAATAAGTAATAAAAAAATATTTCTACTGGAAGACAACTGGACTAGAAGGATCAGGATATAATGAAATAAAAGAAGAAGAGGACATGATATCGATTGAGGAGTGCCAATGAAGGAATGGACATCGAACGAAGCAACATTTATGTGACTAACAAGTATAGGAGAACAGAAAACACAGACGCTTCACTCCAAACCTAGGGGTGCGTCTCGTCGCCAGGTATTCACATGCGTGAGAATCAGGACTCCAGGAGAAGAAGAAGCGCAAACGTCAAGCTTATGCCCTTTTAAGGATTAGCTAATAAATATCTGTCACTCAATGTGTATTAACCGTGTTTATGTCCAGCAGACCTATTGTGTTAAAGGTCTCTCATATACAAGGCGAATACAATAACAGAATTCTCAAGGTTCGTAGGGGAAGCGCTTCTACACTAGTCCAAAGCGTCTGCCCAATGAATGTGTGCAAAACACACGAGAGCAGCGGTTTTTCCTTGTCAGCGATCTTGGCTGTGTTTTGGTTATGGTGAGGGTAGGACAAATATACGTGCGTGTATAGCTCTTTTGAGCCCAGGAAACGGCCTCTCCGGAGGTAGGCGAAAGCCTCACCATATATTCTTCTTGGTATTTTTTCTTGTTTAGGGTGACCTAGTCCAAAGCGTGTAACCTGGAGAACACACAACTATCAAGCCTATACCTTGTAATAATATGAAAACGCAAGCGCATCGGACTACAAGGAGCGTCGATGGAGAAATAGACACGAAGTGGTACGAACACGACCGAAAAATGACGGATAATAGGAAAAACAGAAAGTCAGGGAAAAAGCTCTACCCTGCCGCTAAGTATTCTCAGGCATAGGATCAGCATCACATGAAAATAAAGAATAGACATAAAGACAATAGGGGACGGCGCCACCACTAGGTGCATCCCTTCGCAATAGTATAAAAATGCAAGCTCTTCGGAGTAAGAAGCGCAGTCTCTTCAGAACACTTTCAATTAACGGTGAACCTCTGTCGGTCAGTACAGTCACCAGTCAGGAGAATTTCTGAATATTTAATCAACGAGGAACCTCTCTTCCAACAGTACAATTATTAATTATTTTTAATAAATTCGAGAAACCTCTTTTCAATTCAGTTCGGTTTAAGTCAGTACATCCGAAGTTTTCCTAAAATAAATATAAATTCAAAAAACGGTGTTCAAATAAAATCGAGCTCCATCGCTGTTCAACCCAAGCATTGAGGTTGACAATTAACTTAGTGAACTCCAGAGAGCCATCCACGTTCAACATCTTCATCAACGTCGAGTTAGCTGCGCCAACAACTTCAAGGTCAACTTAAAATTCAACTTGAAGCAATAGTTCATCGATCAATTCTAACCGTAACGACCTAATAGAGACGTGCTCAGTAACAACATCTTGTGTATCAGTTACTAATAAAACATCTATTAATACATTTAAATCGTAAGTAAATTATTAATTTCTTTTAATAAATACTTCATTTCTCCTCTTTTCCTTTTTCCAACCGGTTCTGATGGTCATCCTTGTAGAGTTAATTAAATATTAAGTTTCTGAATCAAAGAGATCTGTCAATAAGTGTGACTGCCACTCCCAGGGTAAAGGCATTTAGTTTTCTGACCGTACAAGCAAGCAGTCGAAGATATTTGTGGCGTCCCAGGACGTAACATCGTCCAACTATTTCCAGATTTATATGATCTAAAATTCTGTTCAATGAATAATCATATACTATTACACGTCAGTGATAAAGTAAAATCATTGGGACCATTGTGGTCCCATTCATGCTTTTCATTGGAAAATTTAAATGGCTTAATGATAAAGATATGCATGGTACAACCAATGCAGATTCACAAATTGTTAATTCACATTGGCAAAATTTATTGTTACATTCTCGAGTACAAAGATTACCTGATGGTACAATGCGTGATTTTGCTAAAAGGAAAAAAAACAAGTAAAAATACAAGAAATCTTCGATAAATTCAGTACAGTTGGTACTTACTCAAAATTTGACTTGGATAAAGACAATGTTGTAACAAGAAGTTTAAATAACGGGAACATTCGAGGTGTTTATGGTTTAGAATATTTTAGATTATTATTAAATGGTACATTTTTTATATCAAAAAATTATAAAGAAACATTAAAAAATAATTCTTCTTATGTAGCATTTAAATACTTGAATGAAAAACGTTTTGGTCTTCTTCATTCTTTTATAAAAATTATTGATAAAATATGCGATTGTCAAAAAAGTAGTAATTGTAAGTGCCTTGGCCAACATTTTGCAATAATAACTCTGCTGCAAGTAGAATCTTTCAGAGAGCCTGTCAGACTTCTCCAACTATCACATTTATATGAATTCATTGTAACTGAAAATGTATTTGCGATTCCTGTCGAAAATTTACTATCGGTATGTTTTTATATTAATACAGGTAATAAAAAATTTATTGCAGAATTGGTTAATCATTATGAAAATGAATGATATTGTAAACAAGAGCTTGTACAAATTTTTCAGGAACAGAATAAAAAAAAAAATCATTGCAATAAAAATTTCTTTAATAGTAATTTTAATTTAATTAGAAATAATTTTTTAAAAATTTGCTATAATTAAAATTGACTTTTAATTTTAGATTAGTTTAATTAATAAATAAGTATAAAAATCCCATTCGATTTGACTTAATTTTTAAGTTAAAATTAAGTCAAATATAAAACTAGATTTTGAATCGATAACTAGTTGTTTTTTTAAGACAAAATAAGTCAAATTTAAGGCAATGAAATAATTTAAGTCAAAAAAAGTTAAATTAAAGGAGATTAAACAATTTAAGTCAAAAAAAAGTCTAATTTAAGGCAAAAAAGTTAAAAAAAAGTCATGATTAAGTCAATATTAAGTCAAAAAAAGTTTAAAAAGTTACAATGTGGAGTACAGTTGTCGGTATATCAACGACTTCAAAGGAAATTAAGTTAAATCAAGTCAAATTTAAGATTTTTTTTTGACCCGGGGCTTTACAAAGAAAAAGCTCATAGTCGACAAAGTAGAATCTTACTTTTGTCTGGCCGGAATTCAAGCCATTATCATGGGATTTAACCGTTTCACACTGAGGAAATACCTTGAAATCACGTACGATATCGCAATAAATGAAAAAGTCGAGGATATTTCTTTTACAGTTATTCACATATGTTCAACTCATTTGTTAAACACTGTAAAAAGATAATAAAAAAGATGTACGATGGATAAAACATCAAAAAAAATTGCGTTGCATTGGATTTCCCAATTAGTACACTGCACATCAATCGACGAAGCAAAAACAGTTTTCAGCGATGGGTGTACAGTGTTTGGAAATGAATGGAACAGTGATGATGTCAATAAGTGCGTGGAAAAAATTTTACCGGTTTACGGAGCTCCACAAAAAGAAACTAGTGAGAAGCATGATAAAGATGACGAAGAAAAAGAAGAAAATGACTCATCGGATGATAAAGAAGAGAAGGAAGATGAAATAGAGGACGAAGAAAATGACGAAGAAAATGTTACGGAAGAAATTAAAATTACAAAAGAGAAAGAAACAAAATTACGACATGGATCTCCGTTTTTTGAAATATTCAATTTAATTTTGATTGAAGAAAAAACATCAGAGGTTATGACTGTCGGATCAGTTAAAAATTCACATTTTTCAAAGGAATTCCTGGATGATTATGTGATGGAACATTTATTGCCATTTTTTCCTCTTTGGTCAGGAATTATTTTAAGCTTACTAACACATAAAAATGTCAATTTAACGAGGGACAATAACTCAACAGCCGAGACTTTTTTTAATCATGTGAAAAATTAAATAATGAAGAAGGAAAAAAATTTTTTGTTACCAAGATTTATCGAGAAAATGGGAGAAGTTACAGAAGCTAAATTAATTGAAAGACAACATTCATTATAAACTGAGAGACAACGACAAAATAAAGACAAGCAAAAGAAAAAGCTTTTAGATGAAGATGATTTAAATGATTACGATGATGATTGGCGTTTTGCTAGTGAAGGGTGGGACCGCAGCAAAGGAGGAACCTACTTCACGCAAAAAAAATTTAAGCGGTTATCTTGCAGTACAGAACCAAAGAAAAATCTTGAAAAAGAAGTTACGGAATCGAGAATGGAAAAAAATAATGTAAACGCAAACGAAGATATAAAGAACATGAAAAATAACAAAGCCCAACTCAATATATCTTATCCTGACCAACAGAAAACAGAAACCTTCCGAGATCTTTTCGCTGAAAATTTACAATACCCTAAAAAATTTCCTCTTAACGACAAAATGATGTACGGCATTCACTTAACGACTGACAATTTTAAAACCTTACAACTAAACGAAAGACTTGACGACAATATTATCAACGGAACATTTAAATTGTTTGAAGATATGGGACGATTGAGAGGATTTAGAGTTCTAGTATTGGAAACATTCTTTTCATCTGAATTTATTGACTATGGAAAATTGCGAAGCGGCTTTCATAACTGGGCTAATAGCGTGAAAATGGATTCTTACAGTGTTTAGATTTCTCCCATTTATTCTGACAATCACTGGACCCTACTAGTCACCGTACGCGATCACAGAATATTTTTATACTTAGATTCATTGGGAAATAAGAAACCAATGACAAAAAACTTGATTGAAGGTTACATGAAGTTAGTAAATGAGTACTGGAATGAGACAATTCAGACAGACGACAAAGAATGGCAAGTAGTAAGGCCAGATGATGTACCGATGCAAAATGTGAATCCGGGAAAAACGTGGGAGAATTGTGGTGTTCATGTTATAATGTGGGGGCACTGCATTGTAACAAGTTCATACTGTCCCTTCGAAGAAAAAGACATGACAACTGCAAGAAAAGGAATAGCGAGATTACTCTGGTCAAATAAAAAGTTAGAGAGGGAAAAATCATCGACAGTAAAATATCGAAAAATATTTTTTGAGGCTACTGACAAAAAAAATTAAGACTTGACTGTACAAAAAATTACTGTGTCGACGAAACCACCAATTTACTTCAATACGACCCTCGAATATTGTGCTTCGTTAAAGTATTTGGTAGTTAATGAATCGTACGCGACAAGAAAAAAATAAAAAAAATTTTTTATTTACGATTGATTGAAGATATTTTACAGAACATTATTATTATTGTTATAGAAGTATTATTAACTGTTTACTGGAAAAAAATCCCAATAAATACATGTATATATATATGTATATATATATGTATGTATAAT